TTTAACATATTCTAAAGAGCTAATGCGTTTGTTCAAACATTCAGTTGCGCCGACCTTTCACTCCTGCAGTTTTGCAAGTCAAGTGCTAAGTATTCACTTAAAGGGCTGATGCTCACCGCGAATTGCCTGAAGACAAGCTCCACGGAGCAACCTTCTCAAGTGTGTGTGTTCATCGGAAACACCACCGGTTTGGGACGCTTTGGGAGTGTGTCCTATCGTTTCCTATCGATTCCTGGGTGTGTGTTCACCTCTGAATTTCCCAGGTTTCCTTTTGGGAGGCTCCAGGTTCGCTTCCATGAAACCCTGAACTTGAAGACTATACTGTGAAAAGGGGCTGTCGAATCCCAACGAAGACGTTCCGAGCCAGGAAGAAAGGAGAATGTCACATGGAATGACCTGATAGGTCTCTATACAGCTCACGAACTGCCATCCCACAATCATATTTCAGCATAGGTTCTACCAATTCTACCAGAAGTTCCAAGAAATTTGTGCCTAGTTCTCGCAGTGTAGAGGAGTGCCCCTGATCCACTCACATAGTACGTAAGGACTTGAACACCCCGCTATGACCTGGAGTCATTCTCGGTATCTTATGCACAGCGAGTCACGAATGACTCATGTGGGCCGAAACCATCTGAACCATCTGAGGTGAGGATGATTCATCCGGCGATGAAGGCATGGTAATGATCACTTGAATATATTCACATCCAATATACCACACATTAGCATACATTACCATACCCAAACCACACATTAGCATACGTACATGTACCAGTATACCTTACGCCGTGGTGTGATGATCCCATGATCCCCATCAATTCCACAGTTCCCACTGCCCCTCCACTGCCCCTCCAAACCCCGAAAAAACGCCTCGCCTCGGACGGAGACGCGCGACGGCCGCTGAGACGACGCTCGCTGCTGCTCTCGTCGAGACGGGCCTGGTAGGTCTCAGTGCCTTCGTCCCAAGGGCCAAGGCCAGCTTTCAAAGAACTGTTCCCCGGCACGCGCCTTGGAGCAGCGAGTCCTCTCTCGCAGAGCGCGAGCGGTGTTCGCGCGAGCGAGACGAGAACGCGAGAACGCGAGCGGGGTTCCACGAGCGGTGTGGAGCGTGAGCGTGAGCGGGGGGGCTCAAAAAGAGGTGGACGAGAAGACCCGCGGAGTGCGAGCGGAAGCGGAGTGGAGGTCTCGGATCCGGAATCGAGTGGGCGGCAGTTTCGTTTCAAGGTACTGGAAGACCTGAAGCAAAGCCTCCGGTTCTGTTGTTTCTGTTGCTGTATACTCCTAGCACCCCCTACCAGTAGTAGGATAGAGGGGTCATACCGCTGGAAGAAGCAAGGTGTGATCCATTGATGGATGGGCAGGAGTCTTCCTCCACACTTTCTGGGATATCATCAAAAGCATTCGGTGGTCAACATCGGCTCAGCATCTGCATCTGTCATCTGGGACTGGAAGATTTGAGGACAACAAAACAAGATATAGGAAGCACATAGGAACATCTTCCAACAGGAACGACATGGGTGTGTATTGAAATAGTGAGGCCTCCCAAAGAGCCCCTGGAAGAAGGAAAACAGACCCAAACCATCCCAAACCCATCCAAAACCCGGTTGGGGATCTCCCACATAGGTGTTTCGCTTTTCTTTTTCCCCGTGGCACATGTGTGGCACATGGGTAGCACGTCATCCCAGTCGGACTCGCCCGACTGGACTCCGTGTCGCTGTGCGTGAAAAACGTGGGCGATGGTCGTGAATTAATAGCAGCACCCAAAAGGACACAATTCACTGCTGTTCCAAAGCGGGGATGGCTATCAGTACTAGTAGCAGATAGAGTGTCCTCCTTATTTCCTCTTCTACGTAATTGCAATGCCATTGATGGCTATACTCCTGGTCGCAAGCACTCTTCCTGGCTTACCGTGCTGAAGGCTTGACCTTCAACTGCTTGTCTAGCAGGAGCAAGTGATGCTGGCATAAACCTACGTCACACTGTAACTTCTATATACATTATAACATTTACAAGTAATTCCACCCCAACACCATAGAATTCAGGAAACATTCCAGGCTTCGACATCATCTGTTCTCAGTGTACACCTGCATCAGACACCCGACACCCGGTCGATGTTGCCAGCTTCCGCCGCACCGGTCGGTGCGGAAGGACCAAGGCACACAAAGGGCAGCATGTCGTCCACCGGAGTCTCTCCTGGCAGTCAGAAGCGACGGAGCTACGTAGCAACCATGGCATTACGTAGCAAAGAGCTACGAACGTAGCGTCCTTGTTTCTAACAGAACCGAAAGACTTGTGGATGCAACACCGGGCCCTGCCAGTCCCTGCCGGCGCAAGCCCGCCGGCGACATAACCGGGTCACCGTAGCCCAAAGGGAAAAAAGGTACTCGTTGACTCCGAACACACCCCAATAGTAGGTATAGATATGCCATATTGTGCCACATGAAGTGTCGGGGTTTTACTACAGTCGCATCCCTTTCTCGACATCAACCCCCGATCTGATCCGATGAGAACTTGTCCGACAGAACTTGACCCAATCTTTAAACCCTAGGGCTCCAACCACCTTCTCAGAAGGTAGTTAGACCCCTCAAACCCACCCGAACCACCTTCTCAGGAGGTGGTTGGAGCCCTAGGGAAAGACAGTCGGATGTCCCTCTGCCCGCGCCCCCACACGGGTCCCGGTTCGGGTCCCGACTTCGGGTCCAGAGATCGCCAGGTTCGGCGTGTGGCTGGGACCACGAGTTCGGCGTAGACCCCCATGACACGAGTTCGGGCTCCCGGCGGCATTGAGATCCTGTACCCTATATAGGGCTCCAGTCGTAGCTCCTCAGAAGGTATTTAAGACTCTCTAAAACCCACCCCAAACAACTTCTGAGAAGGTACGACTGGAGGGGGGCCAAGATCATCCCATTGGGTCAGGTCTTGAAGCTGATCTCAATGGGGATTTCCAGACATCTCCGTCAGCCTTTCCATATACAGATGCGATCACGTGCCGCATCGTGCCGCCAGGTACTGCCATTCCCTGGCTGTTCCAGTTGTTCCAGGTTAGAATGACCTGCACCCCAGCGTGGTGAAACCCAAGATCTAGTGGCATCTAGTCAATCATCCAGTGGCAAAGTCGATGCATCATAGTGGAATCCAGTCAATCGTAATGCAGTGGAATGTGGTAAGAGAGACATGGTGGGCAGCATCTCACTCCACCTGCCAGGTGGGCAGCATGCTGCTGCTGCTCCGTCATGGATGGTCGACCGGGCCCGACTGGCACATTCGCCGATCAATTGCAGTGGTTGGGAGGTCAATGTGATATAAATAGGCCAGTCCCAGCCAGTATCATTAGTCACTGTCTGGGTTCAATTGTTAAATCCTGGTCCGGAACATGGTCAAAGCCTGCGAACGTGACTCTTTAGATCTGGACCTTTTCGCCCTTGGATCTGGACCTTGAAACGCCCCAGCTTCGCGAACATTGAGGCTTGGCCGCCCTCCGCCCTCCGACCCGCTCCGGATCCGGCCTCCAGCTCCGCAGGTTTCGTTCATCCGGATCAGGCCTGGAAGGCCGGCGCCGGAGCCGACTGACACGACGTAGAGCAGCGTGGCGGAAGCGACGGACGAGCGGGCGTTCTCAGCTTCGTTTTTCACGTTGCGAGGCGGGATCGGCTTGGTGCCGCGAAGGGATTGTAGGTCACCAGGCATGTGTCTTCCCAGGGGATGGTGTTTGGACCGGCATTCGGCATTCCCACATAACATCCATATGCCGAGGGTCACTGAGCTGGAGGTAGCATTCTACAAAGGACCACTGAAGACGGTGGGTCGACCCTCACACCAACTACCTATATGGGCACTGGATCTCACTGGCACTATCAGAAATCAAATTGTCCAAACATGCGTGGGGTTACAAACTGCTGCAACATGGTTCATGAGCGGGTCTCTTGCAGCCAGGAATCCACTATTATACACGCAACGGGATTAACCTTTTGGATTGGCTCAAAAAGACTTGCAGTGCTGAGTACTCGCACTCCCAGTGAGACGATCTTCATCAAACCATTCCAAGCTGAAACGTTCCCCATCCCAACAAAACCCTATAAACCCTTATCCCTCACTCCCATCCCATCCTCTCGACCCAAAAAAAAAACACCCTCCCCAACCCGACACCACCATTCGATGGCGCCATGTGGCGGATCCGGTCGGTGAGCCGGAACGCCGCACCGAAGAGTGCCAAGTCGAAGGGCACCCCAGCCTGGCCGCGGCTCCGGAGACCCTTCCCCCGCTGAGACGACGGAGACCGAGACCGAGACGAAGACCGTGGCGCGCGCGCCAAGGAGCGCAGATGGCCTTTTTGATGGCGCGGCTCCGGAGGTTCGTGACCGGTGACGGAAAGGCCCATGTCAAGGAGTGCCGAGGAGGTTGACAGTGGGGTGGTGGCAGTGACATACCGAGGTGTTGAGACGCGAAATTGAGGGATGGGGAGGAGGAGAGCCGATGATGTCTATTATGTGTATAGTATATGTATATATTATATGTGCATGTATAATAGCACATAGAAACACCAAACTTTCTCAGTCGCCCAGCTGCAAACGACTGTCACGCAATTCCTCCCAGACGAGAAGTGTGGGGGGGGGGGTGAGAAACTCCCCCTGGTTTGATTGGGTGACCGCTTGGTCTGAAAGACCATCAGTGTTGACCCGCGATGTCGCAAGCAGGTTTGTTGTCAAACGTGTGAATGTTTATCCATGGCATTAGCCAGACACGACTAATGGGACTGGCAAAAGTTCCCTACATTGGGGTGGTTGAAAAATGGGTCAATGTATGCAAGTATGCAGTGTCTGGGGTCTATCCATGGCAATTATTATACCTTGGTCGGGAGTATAGCCCGTGACATCAACAAGCGCGGCCCGGCTGATCCCAAGACTATGAGGGTTCACTACAAATGTCACCAAGACTGCCAAGACTCATGGAGGCGCACAAAGTGTTGCCAACCAACCAACCAACCAACCAACCAAGCAAGCAAGCAAGCAAGCAATGAAACAACCCATCAACCAAGACTCTGCTCCAACCTCACCTCCACCCAGCCAAACTATCGCTGTTATCGGATCGTGCTGGTCATCGGCATGTATGGGGTCGCTGATTCGTCAGGTTGGCATCCAGGGCCGAGAAATGCAGCAAACATCCATCCCCTAGGGATTCACGGATCCACCTTCCCAGGTTGCGCTGCACTGGACCCTGCAAAGGTATACATGAAAGTGTCCGATCATGGCGGACAGGAGGTGGAGGGAAGGCGGATCAATCCAAACCCTGATCCACCGACCAAGGTATTCATCCTAAGACATCCACGGTGGATGCACGGTGGATCCGATGAGTCATGGAGTCACGGTGGATCGCATCGAAGAGCGACCTGAGCAGCGACCTGACCAGTCCCAGTCTCCGCTCTACTCACGAGCGAAGGTAGACCTCCAAATGAAAGAACCAGGTGCAAGTCCAAACCTGGCTTAACAAACAAATGATAAGAGAATCAGAGAATCAACAAAAAGCAATCAGTGTGTCTCTGTTAATATTACACCACCGTAGACCCCAAACAGTTTGTGTTTTTCGAATCGGAACACTCTGCAGCCTGCGACGTCCAGAGCTGGGAGACAAAGGATTGCAAGGCAGAGGCGGCCACAGCAGTCCAGAGCTGGGAGACAAATGTAGACACAGGGAGACAAATGTGCAAGCGAGATGGAGACAAATGCAAAGGCTTGCGAGGACACATGTAAAGGATTGCAAGGCAGAGGCGGACACAGCAGTCAGAGCTGGGAGACACATGTAAAATTAAGGATTGCAAGGGAGAGGCGGACACAGCAGCCCAGTAAAGGATTGCAAGGCAGAGGCGGACACAGCAGTCCAGAGCTGGGAAGAAGAGGAGACAAATAAAAGGAAGTGGGAGACAAGCCAGCCGGGAACCCGACCAGAAGCACCCAGCCTGGGAGACAAATGAAAAGAACTGGGAGACAAGTGAAAAGAAGTGGGAAACAAATTAGCCCAGCTGGAGACCCCAATAGCAAGATACAAACCGGGACAAAAAGAAAAATCTGGAAACAGCTGCTGTTTTCAACACATCGACCATCTCTTCCTTGGACACCATGATCACATAACCGGGACACGATCACAAAATGACCAGGGCACCATCAAAACATGACCGAGACACCGTCACAACATGATTGGGACACCATCACAACATAACCAGGACACCATCACAAGGTGACCGGGACACCAGCATGACATGACGGGGACACCATCACAACATGACCGGGACACTATCACAACATGACCGGGACACCGTCACATGACCCGAACACCATCAAAACATAACCGGCACACCGCCAAAACATGACCAGGACACCATCAACACATGACCGGGACACCATCAAAACATGACCGGGACACCGTCACAACATGAGCGAGACACCATCACAACATGACTGGGACACCGTCACAACACGACTGGGACACAATCACAACATGACCGGGACACCATCACAAGGTGACCGGGACACCAACATGACATGACGGGAAAACCATCACAAGATGACCAGGACACCATCACAACATGACCGGGACACCGTCACATGACCCGGACACCATCAAAACATAACCGGCACACCGCCAAAACATGACCAGGACACCATCACAACAGGACCGGGACACCATCAAAACATGACCGGGACACCGTCACAACACGACCGGGACACCATCAAAACATGACCGGGACACCATCACAAGATGACCGGGACACCATCAAAACATGACCGGGACACCATCAAAACAGGACCGGGACACCATCACAACATGACTGGGACACAGTCAAAACATGATCGGGACACCATCACAAAATGACCGCGCCACCATCACATGATCGGGACACCATCAAAACATGACCGGGACACCGTCACAACATGATCGGGACACCATCACAACATCACCGCGCCACCATCACATGATCGGGACACCATTACAACATGACCGGGACACCGTCACAACACGACCGGGACACCATCAAAACATGCCCGGGACACCATCACAACATGACCGGGACACCATCACAACATGACCGGGACACCTTCAAAACATGACCGTGACCGGGACACCATCAAAACATGACCGGGACACCATCAAAACAGGACCGGGACACCATCACAACATGATTGGGTCACAATCAAAACATGATCGGGACACCGGGACACCAGCATCACATGACCCGGACGCCATCAAAACATGACCGGGACACCATCCGCCCACCAGCTCTGACGGTGACCCAACGGCGCCCGTCCGCCTATTAGTTTTGCAAGACCCCATAGCATGGCTATTGGGAATGAAAGGAAGTGGGAGACAAGCCAGCCGGGAACCCCGACCTGGGAGTGGGAGACAAGACGGCCGGGAATCCGACCAGACCATCCAGCCTGACCAAAAGCGTGGGAGACAAATGAAAAGAACTGGGAGACAAGTGAAAAGAAGTGGGAGACAAATGAAAGGAAGTGGGAGACAAGCCAGCCGGCAACCCGACCACAAGCACCCCGCCTGGGAGACAAATGAAGAACTGGGAAACAAATGAAAAGAAATGGAAGACAAAGAACTGGGAGACAAATGAAAGGAAGTGGGAGACAAGCCGGCCGG